TTGTTGTTGTTGTTTTTGCCCTACACGAGCACGGGGGCACGTGCTCATGTGCTCGTGAGCACGTGAGCGCGTGAGCTCACAAGCAGGAGCACGTGCACCCGACGGCGGACGGACATACGGACATGGCTAGCCCCTAAGGAGCTTCGCCCCTAAAACAACAGATCTGCATTCACCCGACATTGCTGCAGGCTTAACAAGCCGACGAGTTGCGAGTTACCCTCTAACGTTTAAACAAGGAGCACCTTTCTCGAGGTAACGATACTTAAAGATAAAAATAAAATTGCTCAACAAATAAACTTTTTAGTTTTGAAAATGCCGTTCCAAACAGCCGTGGCGTACTCTGGCTGGGGTCTAACTAAGGAACAGTACAGCGTGAAAAAAGTGGACGGGCTTTTGAATTCCTTCGTTATGCGAGACGCGGCACCTGACATGCGCAATGTCGATTGACCCACTCTGGTAACTTGAGTGTCGAATCTCAGGGTTGATTTAAAAACAACACCAAGGGTCCCCAGTTCCCTTACACGTGACAGCAGTTCGCCATGATAACTATAGACCTTTCCAGAAAAGGGCTGCTCGCCGGTTTCATTTTCAGTGTTCGTGCGTATCGCGCGTGATTTGCTCGCTTTCCGAAGCAACGCACACGCGCGTGCTGAGCTGTGGAGATCGCACGCTGAGCTGTGGATTTGTAAACATTGGAAAGGTCTATATGGAAAACATACATACCGTGGGTCTTGCGTGAATGTGTCATTACTTTTGTTTTAGAATGATTCAACCGACGGCCATTGTCCAAACACCAATGACCGAAGGAATATGCGTCCTTCTGAAGCGTGCGGCAAATCTCTAAGGTCGATATTTTTTAGTAAAGTTTTATATCATCAGCGTACTGCAGAAATGAAGAGTTTAATATAACCTGAGAGACATCATTTACAAGGATATTGAAAAGGAGGGGGCTCAAGAAAGACCCCTGAGGCACTTCAGAGCTTGCCTTCTGCAAGGACGAGGTAATATTGTTAAACACGGACGTACGCTTGCATATTGGACAAATAATTTTTAACAAATTGTACACCAAACCACATACTCCGTAGGAGGAAAGTTTGTATAAGAGGATGTGGTTTTCTACGTCGAAGGCCTTACTCGGGTCGAAATAAAAAAAAAAAAAAAACGTCAGGCCGACATTTATTACAAACTACTTCAGATGCAGCAGTCGTAAAAGATACGAGATTGGCTGATGTCGATCTGCCGGACGTGAAGCCATGCTGAATAAGAATGATTATACTACGAAACTTGGAGGAGATGAATTAATATATGGCCATTTCAAAGAGTTTGGAAATAGAAGAAAGAAGGTAAATCGGGCTGTAATGAGGAACGTCACCACTATTTCCAGTTTACAGGACCAGAATGACCACTGCCATTTTCCAGTCGTCAGGGAATATTCCTGACGTCAAGGAGCTATTACAAATTCTACGGAGTATAGGCGTAAATACTTCATGATAACTCTTTAAAAAAAAGCTACAAACCTTCTTGAAAAAAAAAAAAGCGAATTAGAGGGGAATTTTGGCGTATTTGTATTCCGTGAATCTCACTATCACCTTCGTTTTCCTCCAATATGTAACCAAACGCCAGAAAACGCGAACAACCTCCGACTAGTCGTGACGTCACACTAGAATCTTGGGGCCGACAAGCGCGTGTCGCTCGTGTGGGCAGCGCGTGCAATTGCAAGCTTGCCAGGTGTATTTTCTGCACGGACACCAGTCGCGACGTCTTTCTGACCTTTTTGAAAATAACGAGAGTGCGCGTGCATAGCTTTAACAGGCGCCGAAAATGCCCGAGAACAGAGATTCCGAAAACTCCTAGTATGACGTCACGCCCTGTAAAGGAGGGGCTTCGACGCTACCTTAACAATTAATTTCTGCACCTTTCGTGCACAAAGTTGAAAAATAATCTCGGTTTTCGTGATCCTGGAGGCCGAATGAAGGCCATTGACGTGCTTTTTTTTTTTTCACAAATACAGGACCACTTGAGTTTCCCTTTCAAAATTTAATCGGGTATCCCGTCATGACGTGCAGACAATGTGAGTCTCATTTCTTAATACATAACCTAGCACACTTCTCACTGACAACAACAGAGCCTGATCGGTCACCAAACCAATCCCAGTGAGGCAATATAGTTGAGAAGAAGTTATTATTCTTATTATAGACTGAGACAAAGTGATCTGCAAACAACTCAGACATGCCCCATTCGCACTGTCGCTATGCTGATTCAAGACGACTTCGGACTCAATAGACTTCCCCAACTTCCAGGCTTGATTACCGAGTGTACGCGGCTCTTAATTAATTCAACGAAAAGCGCACTTTTAATGTTTCCAGTTGATGCTCAGCTAAACTTTGAACATAACGGACAGTGTTCTTTGCCTGGAATATCGTATTCCACCCCGTATATCCCGGCTCCAACTATTAACAGACGTACTCAGATATTTTTGACGTCGGCTTTCTAACCCCTGAGATTAAACGACAACTTCTTCGGACCCAAAGTTTGTCATTTCGGAGGGCCCCACTTCCATGAGTCAAATATGTGCAATCATTAGTACACCCTTTACAATTTTCGTTTCAAAAATTGGGCCATATAGATACGCAGCACAAACGGAAAGTTAGGATTGCGACGGCGATATATTTCACAGTTCTTTGAGGCATCCTCCACTTTATGATTGCAGGGATGTTTCGGGATTACGTTCATTCTTTTATGTACTTCCTTCTAATCGCAACCGATGGGTCAGTGGCGAATGATACATGAGGCGTTGGAATCGACATCCCAAGCCTGGGTGACGCTTTTCTTTACGCTTATCCGACTCTACTCCGATCTATAAAAGCGGAATTTTTTACCATTGTCCTGGCACTGAAAAAAAATACCATCAAATATTTCGAAGATCCTCATACTCATGCACCGATTCCAAATCTGCATACGATTCGCTGGCTGGAGCTCACCTCTATCTTAAGTACTTTTGTGCTCTTGTGCCGACGCATATTAGGGAACTTGGGTACCTTGCCGTTATAGGTGTTCCTGAAAATAAAAACTGCCTGGCACGGGATTCACTGGCATGTCCTGTCATTGAGGCTTTCCCTCTACTTCCCTTTGTGCTGAGTGCACGGTTCCGCAGATACCCCACGCTCACATAGAACAAAAATATTATTCTCTACATTATTCCTGATTCCATGCATCTCAAATATTCGTGGAACGCTGGTCGCTGTGAATCCCGAAAATGCGAAACAACGTAACACGTTTACGATGCCGAGTCCCGAATCTTAGCTTTTTTTTCCCACCGAGTTGGTTTCTCCGCTTCACTCCTATGCCCATATTGCAAAACTCATGAAACTCTAGACCCTTACTTTGGACCCTTTCGTAGTCACTGGTTCTTTGAAAAGTAACATTTGTCATGTATTAACCGTTATAGTAATTGGGTTCAGCGGCTGCCACAGAGTAGTACGTCTCTAATCTGGACACTTGGCGAAAATGTTGGCGAGGAATCCGGCGACCGTGATTAGCCGACACCGAGCGTCACCTTGGTGCCGTCTGAGCACGGCACTCGAATTCCTCGCAAACTTTTTACCGAAGTGTCCAAATCAGAGTCCCGGAGGAGAGTCCAATTACTCACCAATCGTCTTCAGTGCACGAGGGCGTATAACAGACTTGAGTTGAGCTATGCTCCGTTTCATACTATGCTCCGTTTCAAAGCTACCGGCGCGAGCGCGTGGCTTCATCCATGCTTTCGTTTGCGCGAGAGCGCGTGCAAATGATCAACGAGATCAAACCCCGAGCTCGTGCCAGCAGCTTTGACAGCGTTGTATATTAAGTATGAAACGGAGGATAGTTGATGCGTGATATTAGGAGAGGGCCAGCTTGAATTTAAGAAAGGAAAACGTGAGAGTACAGAGATAGGAAAAAAAAATAAGAGATATCGCTGCACTAACAACTATGCTTTTAATACTTCTCCCTTTTCGTGTACCTCAACTACAGGGTGAAACAAGAAGACGCCAGGCTCTTTAAATCGACTGGAAAATTCGGTTTCTTAACCTATCGCGCTACGACTTTGTGCAGCGTTGCCCACAGATGGTGCATTTTTTTTTTTTTTTGTAAAATTTGCGAAGAGTGAATTTACCTGAGGAAAAAGTAAAGAAAGAAAAAGGCTTAGCTCCTATGGAAACCCAGCGACGCCACCCGTTTGCAAACAACACGGCGCCGTTTCGCACGGGAGACAAGAGATGGCGCAACAAACGCCGCGACGCCAACTGCCGCCAACGAACAAGCAGACGACGCCGAGAGCCGGCCCTTTTGCAGACAAGGAACTGCAGTTCCTTGCTGTTACCGCGCCTGTCTTTTTTGTTTCTGCGACTGTCGCCGCCTGCGGAACGCGCGCCGCTTTTGAGTTGAAAAGATCGCCTGCTAAAAAGGCCTGCTCTCGGCGCCGTATGCTCGTTCGTTGGCGCTGCGTTGGCGGCGTTTGTTGCGCCAACTCTTGTGTCCCGTGCAAAACGGCGCCGTGTTGTTTGCAGACCGGTGGCGTCGCTGTGTTTCCATAGGAGCTAAGCCTTTTTCTTCTTTACTTTTTCCTTAGGTGAATTCGCTCTTTGCAAATTTTACGAAAAAAATGCACCATCTGTGGGCAACGCTGCACAAAGTCGTAGCGCGATAGGTGAAGAAACCGAATTTTCCGGTCGATTTAAAGAGCCTGGCGTCTCTTTGTTTCACCCTGTATGTGCTTTTTTGTGTCATTTTTGGCCGCCACAGATCCGAACTTGCGGGTGCCTCGCTTAAAGCTCAAAATGCTCAACTACTCTGATTTGTAGGTTTACTCTTTTTACGCATCCTGAGCAGCAGCAGTGCGCTCTTCCGTTCATTTAATAAGGCACGTTTATTTTGAAACTGTTACTGTACACAGGGCTTGTTTTTCTCAGTGTCCGCTTGGGACAGCGCCGCTTGGAGCGCAGCCGAAATCCACTGGCCGTTCAGACGTCGACGGGCTGGGCACGAACCGTGGCGCCTTCCCCATGCACCGCCGAATCTGCGCATACGTCCAGAGCGGATCCCACTCGGCGTTAGAGTGTTAGCCGTAGACATCTTTAAGCATGACGCCCTCTGGTAAAACTACGCTCCATCTCGCAAGTTTTCTTAGGTGCAAACTATACTCCGTTTCATACTTAGTATATAGAGGCTTTGCAGCGGTTGTGCGTGGGCGCCGCCATAACCGACCTTCAGTTTTTGTTTCCTCTTATTCCGTTCAGTTCACTTGGTCATTACCGCAACAGACCAGGTCTTTGCCATCTAAGATTCTATAATGTCCTTCTCCCCAGCATTGACCTTTGTGGAGGCTCGTCAACACCCGCCACAGTGGCTCGACATCTCGGTTAGACAAGAGAAGGTCAGCAATGGCGGCTGTAATCTGGCGCGTGTGTAAAGCGTCTATGGACCTTTCCAGAAAAGGGCTGCTGGCCGGTTTCATTTTCAGTGTTCGTGCGTATCGCGCGTGATTTGCTCGCTTTCCGAAGCGACGCACACGCGCGTGCTGAGCTGTGGAGATCGCACGCTGAGCTGTGGATTTGTAAACATTGGAAAGGTCTATACAACGCCATCAAAGCTACTGGCGCGAGAGCGTGGCTTCATCTATGGTTTCGTTGGCGCGAGAACGCGTCCAAATGACCTGCGACATCAAACATGATGCTAACGCCAGCAGCTTTGACAGCGTTGTACACTAAGTATGAAAAAACGTATAGGGGATATTCACTGAACGCCATATTTGAGAGCGGTTATTAGAGCTCATGCTCAGAACGAGCCAAGACCGGCAATCTTTGGGGTGCTGAGTGCACGTTGCAGAAGAACCGCGGAAGCTCGCCGTCAGCACGCGCTCAGCAGCCCCGCACACAGCTATAGCCGTCAGTGAATACTTTCCATATTTGGGCAAATGCGTTGTTTACACACATCTTCGGGCACGGAAGGGCGATCGGTGGCCGAGAGGGAAAGCGCACACCAGCTCGGAGCACGTGGAGCGAAAGCTCGCGCTGCAGAACCCAGGGGCTCAATCCCCGCCCCCGCCCGCTTCGATGTGGATGAGCATCGTACCGGCGTGCGGTCGTGCATCCCTACTGCGTGGTGCACGTTAAAGACCCAAGGCTAGCGGTTGACCAACTACACGCTGTCTAAATATCGCCACGACCCAAATTATTCGGGCACGGAAGGCGCTTTCGAAAGTTACCTGATCAAGCGTGTAGATTCGCAAGCGCTGAAGACCACTTACGAGAAAGCGTCAATACGCTGTTTCCAAACAAGAGCGCGTTTTCCCCCACCAGCACTGCGTGTGCGCAGAGTCAATCGTCTGCGCATTCACAGTACGGACAGCAAGGCCACCACAGTGAATTGCTCTCAATGTTACTAGAGTCGGTGACAGGTGCTCAGTTTCCAATTTAACAGAGTGCAGATCTCCTCCTCTCCGACGCCCGCTCTGCTAAACTGCAAACAGGTGGAAGGAGTTTCCCCTCGACTCTTGGTCTCTAAAGGGGTATCCACACGAAGGAGAAATCCGCCCCTTTCCTCCGCGGAGCGCGCATCACGTGAGACACACGTCATCCCTTTTTGACGCCTCGCGCCGCCGTTCTCCTCCGTGGCGGAGGGGCGGAGGCTTCGTGCTGTCAGCACGAAAGCTCCCAGGTGCACGCGGCGGAGCCGGGGACGGAGTTTCCTGGACTGTTGACGTCACGACATCCGTCCGCGGAGTTCTCCTTCGTGTGGATACCGCTTTAATGGGGTATCCACACGAAGGAGAACTCCGCGGACGGAGCTCGTGACGTCAACAACCCGGGAAACTCCGTCCCCGGCTCCGCCGCGTGCACCTGGGGCTTTCGTGCTGATGGAATTAAGCCTCCGCGCCTCCGCCACGGAGGAGAACTGGGAGAACGGCGCCGCGAGGCGTCAAAAAGGGATGACGTATGTCTCACGTGCTGCGCGCTCCGCGGAGGAAAGGAGCGGATTTCTCCTTCGTGTGGATACCCCATAATGGGGTATCCACACGAAGGAGAAATCCGTCCTTTTCCTCCGCGGAGCGCGCATCACGTGCGACATACGTCATTCCTTTTTGACGCCTCGTGGCGCGTTCTCCTCCGTGGCGGAGGCGCGGAGGCTTCGTGCTGTAAGCACGAAATCTCCGCAGGTGCACGCGGCGGAGCCGGTGACGGAGTTTGCCGGGTTGTTGACGTCACGACATCCGTCCGCGGAGTTCTCCTTCGTGTGGATACCCCTTCCGACTGTAGATTAGCTCAGTCAGGGAAGTCCTCACAGACGCCGCTTCCACGAGCAGCACCCCCGACGGGCCAACTCCCGCAGAGCCGTCTATTGGGAGAGTTTGGCCATACATTGGTTTGAAAAGGCGAGCATCTCGGGGCCGACCACAGGCCTAGAAACAGCCCCAAGCTGTGGTCGTGAGCCTTAAATATGGGACACGACTAACTTAAGCCATTTTAGCGTCACTAGAGTGAAAAGGTATAACTCTCGGTGACTGAAAACTTGGCGCATGTGAGGTTTTCGTCACGTCCATATTCAACGGGTGAAAGAAAGAACGTGCACTCCAAACCAGGGCCGACTTGCTCGAAACAGCGCCTGAACTGAGACTGGGGGAAAGGAAGCACTGGCAAAGCCAGCGCATGAGCTGAGCGGGACTCACTCCGCGCCTCGAGACGCTCGCGCGCTCCAGCCTTTACCGCTCATCAGTGCTGGAAGCAGATCCGCGTTCGCAACCGTTCTATGAAGATCCAGTACAATTGCACGCGCACTCGATGTCATCGAGTGCGCGTGAAATTGTACTGGATCTTTTTACAACCGCATTCACAACCACTTTGCGAACGCGGATGCGCTTAGTGTGAATGGGCAGTTACGCTGTTTTCTTTCAGCCAGTCTCAGCTGAGCCGCTGTTCTATCAAGCCGGCCCAGAGCAAACTGTCACCGAGACGCCGAGGTTGAACGCTTCTATTTCACGCTTTAGATGTCGTTTGCAATATTGTGACGTCGCGGTTTGTTGATTGGTCGACGCTGTGTCACCCTTTTAGTTTACGCTCCAACCGCGGGGGCAGTATTTGGCGCTGGCGGTGGCCTTTGCTCCACCTGGACTCCCTGCGTTTGACGCGCCACCGTTTTGGGGACGGCTGCTAGGTCAACAGGAGTGTATTCTATGGAATACGTATGTTTGGAAGCACTGCGCCTAGGCGGCGTTTTATCGTGCTCCCGGGGGAATGAAGCTCTCGGCTACTTCCGTTCGGTCACTGATCTTTATGACGTACGTCCGGTCCGGCGTGGCCAGACGTCATGTTGTTTCAAATAAATATGATTCGTGTAATCTTTAACGTTAAATAAAGGCGAGGTTATTTCGAAGGTACGAATAGCTTTGACGGTCGTTATCGTACCATTCTTTTTCTCTATTTTAAAGTGTTTGGGCGCGCTTTCGTTCTGTCCGAACTCGCGCCTCGAGATGCGCTGGCCGCTGGCGCTGGGAAGTCGTTGGACCGTCAGAACGGTCGAAAGACGCGGGTCGCGAGATGTTTCGCTTCTGGGAGGACTGGGCCGCGGGAGGTTCGAGCGAAAGCCACTTTCTTTCCTTCTTCGTGGAAACTCGTTGTTTTTGGAATGCGGTTAAGCACAGAGTTTCGTCATCGCCACACCACCTGCTCTGCCAACGGGGGAACAATAGCTGCCGAAAGCCGGGACTCAAATGGTTTCGACTTCCAACGGACGACAGGTACGCTGTTTGCTCGTAACGGCAGAACTTAACTGTCGCGTTGCTAGTGAACATTAATTGTTTTATTTTCGCAATAGCTGCAATAGTTTCGAATTATAAAAAGAGATCTATCAATCTTCAGGATTCCGGAGATCCAAATCACTCGCCGCGAGAAATACGTGTCAGTGTCAGACAACTGGACACTTTTATCTAATATCAAGATCGAGCATATGTTCACTTCAAAATATCGTAAACCTGTTCCAGTTAGCTGCTTATTTGGGAAAGTTGTCAGCGATTCACGGTTCTGTTCCCGAGGAGTGAAAACGAACCTCGATTTTTTTCATGAACTGGGGATGAGCGATGAGCTATCCGTCGTTTAGAAACCACGCACTTCTGAGTTAAAGTGATACTATTAAAAAGTAAGTGATACTATTAAAAACTAATACAGGTTCATGATGAAGACGTAATGCCAATGAGCTGAGCTTTTGTTTTCTAAGCTCATTGTTTAGCTTGCTTCAGTTGCAAGACACCATCGTGGGTCTTTATTTAATCCAACATGTGTAATCCAGTTCGAAATGATAGTCAATTCAGCGTGGAGGCATTTAACTCAAGGAGGAAAAAAAATTTAAAAAATAATTAAACGTTTACAGTTCACTGCAACGGGCGAATGGACTTTTTCCAAATACCGACGGCACCAGGCGGCGGCTGCACGAACTAAAAATCGAGAAAGTGACCTACATCCGCTACCAATCGATAATGGGAGCTACGCTACCAGTCGCTTCGCTCTCTGAGCTGCGTCCCGTGCCCAACGCGACTTTAAAGAGGGAAATCCGTAGCGTCCACACAAACGTTGCGCTTTTCTTTCCGTCCACTTTCTTTTTTTGTGTAACACAATTATATATATGCCGCAATTACGTGTTCCACTCGTCGATCTACAGCCTCATTCCGAATTTCTTCGATTTTTCGTGCCGACTTCCACCGCTTGGCATCGGGCGCTCGCGCGTGCGCAGAACGCTTCTCGAAAAAGATCCATTAGAGCGCAGCTCTTAAGAAGGAGGAGGAGGAGGGGAGGGTACGGAGCGGAAGGGTCACCTGTGACCCTCCCGCTCCGTACCCTCTCTTACCCGTATGGGGCTTTGGGCTCGTCAAGCCTGAGGCTTTTTTCCCTTCTGTCCCTCCAATTCATTTGGAAAATAATGTTATTATTAGTATTACTTTATGACTACACATTACGTGTGCCGTCACGAGGGCAAAATTTCCCTCCTATTTTAGCGAAAAAATTTCCCCGCTAAATTTCCACAGCCGTTTTTTCCCCCTTTCCGGCGAGAGCGCCGAACGGCGTTCCCGCCGGGGGAGGGGGATTTCGGACCAGTTTTGGACCCAGATCGCTGCGGAGGACCCGAAACGCGTCGGAAGACGATGTTCAACGTCTCCGTAATTGACGGAAGACGGTGGGCGACGGAGTCCCACCCCAACGAGGGAAGACCAATCCCAAAAAAGGAAACTTTCACTCAATCTGGCGGATTCTCAAAAGTTGGGTGACCATGGACACGGCCGCGAGAGAGGGGATTTACCGTGCCGTGCCGTGCAACGATGAAGCCAACATTGTAAACGAAAAACAAGTAAAATGAAAAAAAAAAGGCGCTGCCCTAGGGTTTCGGTTTTGGTTTCGCTGCATCGCCATGTCGACTTGAGCAGAGCATTTGGGCGCCAGGGGATTCAAGTGTCGCTGCTGACTTCGATGCAAGGTTTACCAGCTCGCGTCCTATGGGCGGTATAGTCTAGTGCAGGGTGTAAGATAGACAGGTGGGGAAACGGCCCATGGAAACCTACCGCAGCGCCGTGACCGGATTGTGTACTCGTCTGCTTGCGAGTACCCCCGATTTGCGACAGATGGCGCTGCGGCGAGAAGAAAAAAATTGGAATCGAATTTGCGTGGAACTTTATGGGAGAGTGCGCAAAATAAACCGAGAGCACGACAGTCCTCCATTGAAAATCCACGAGAAACCTTCTCCGTCAGTTTAGCAGGTCGCCACCGTTCGCCCACCAGGAGTGAGAGTTCGCGGTGCTCCACATAGATGGCGCCACAGAAAAAGAGAAAACCGAGGGGGACACAATCCGGTCGCTCATTTGGCTCTCGTTTCCCCACCTGTCTATCTTACACCCTGGTCTAGTGTCTACTCTTTTCCACGGGCGCCGCCATGTTTGTTCATCCTGACGCCATGACACAGTAGGGAGTCAGCGCTTTTTGCAAGACTCCGTTTTAGAGCGCAGCTCTTAGGCGCCCGTTTCCACGTTGAGCGGCGTCGCCGTCGCCGTCGGCGTCGGCGTAACTGCGCGAGCTTCATTATGGGACGTTTTCCCGCTAACTTTAGCGGAGAAATTTGTCTGCTATATTTAGCGGTAAATTTTCCCGTTAAAGTTAACGGGAAAATTTTCTCGCTAACTTTAAAGGGTTAAGTTTTCCCACTAAATTTAGCGGGGATATTGACGTCACGTGACCTCAACACCAATTTAGTTTCCCCGCTAAATTTAGAGGAGAAAATTACGTCACGATTTTGTGTCACGTCACCCATGAACAAATTCAGCGGCAGCAGGAGAGGAGGAGGAAAGGAGGAGGAGAAGGGAAGGAGGAGGGGAGAGGAGGAGAGAGCGAGGAGGAGTGGAGGGTATGGAGGAGGAGTATGGGCATACCCTCCCTTCCGTACCCTCCCCTCCTCCTCAAGAGCTGCGCTCTAGTTTCGCATTACAGGGATTTGTAAACGTGTTTCATTCCTTTTTTTTTTACTTTTGCACATATTGTAGTTTATGAACGTCAGAAATGCATAGTCACGATTCCCCAAAAACAACACCTACTCCAAGAAGGCTGTAAAAAAAACAAAAATCATATCTTATGCGCAGCCCCTCTCTTCACAAGGGGCTGCGTTTGAGATTATTATTTGGCGTTGTTATCGCTGCCTGCTAGGATTTCGGACATTAGTCTATGGGCAGTCTCACTACTCTGGTGGTCCACTGAAGACACAGTTTTTAAGTGAAAACCTATAAGTGGCGCTCCAACAATGGGAGGCGGACTGAGGGGGCTGACAGGGAGGGGGGGAGGAGTACCCCCTTTGCGAGAGTTCTACGACGGAACTAATGTAGTGACGTTGGCTTGTGTTTACAAATACCGCGAGGTGACATGGGCACAAAACACAGCAGAATCTACATGCGCGGGCGCGTACAATATGCCATGGTGAAAACGATCGTGATCACAGGTGAGCGCAGTCTAAGTCGAGATGAGCCTGAATAAAGTTTTACTTGACAGAGAATAAGTACGGGAATCATCATAACTCACCGAGTGCCATGCGAATGTCCACTAGCCTGGCAAAAGGTTGCGTGCAGGACGTCGAGTCCAACTCCGTGTGGAAGGCAGCCACACACAGTGAGGGGTGAAGCGTCTTGAGAAAGAGTACCTGCGAGGACACCGAACACGTTGCCACCACATCGGGGCCCTTCATTTGCCTTTCTCGAGTCAATAAAGCGCTTCTGCGTATTCTTTTTTTTAAAGAGTAGCGGTTCAGAGGCAAATACAAAAACACTTCTTTCCAGTGTCTTTTTGTTTTAGTCTTCTATGAATTCTAGTGCTCTTTACACATGTCCGCACTGTTCAAAGTGAATACCAAAAACTTTTAGCCATTCCACTCTGGTGAAGGAAGACCAGCGAAGCTGTACTATGATGGGACGACCTCAAGCACGACTTCTTGGACGACCTCAAAGACGACGTCTAAGGACGACGCCTAGGACGACCTCAAGGACGATGTGTAGGAAGGCCTCAAGGGCGACTTCTAAGACGACCTCGAGGACGACGTCTAGATGACGACCTCAGGGACGACATCTAGGACGACCTCAAGAACAACGCCTAGGACGGCCTCAGGTACGACATCTAGGACTACCTCAAGGACGACTTCTACGACGATTTCGAAGACGACGTCTAGAACGACCTCAAGGACGAATTCTAGGACGACATCTAGGACGACGCCTAGAGAAATTCAGGTTGGAAAGGTTGTCGCCGTCTATGAGCAAGGCCGGCAAGCCGATTGTCTGGTTGCCGCCGTCGCTCAGAGATGGCGGTAGCTGTCCAGAGTTTTGTGTCGAAATTTCTTTGCGGAGGACACGATCCTGGGGAAACTAGCCCTTAACAGCTCCGCTGTAAAAGAGTTATTCCTACTATTTGCCTCAAAGAACAAATTGGTAGTCCTAGCCAGTGGGCAGAGCGCGCCTCTGGGGTCGAGTCAATGGCCCTTGCAAACATAACGAGCGGATCGTCACCTTGGACAAGAGCACGCCTTCCTTCTCGAAGGTGTAGAGCACATCTCCGCTTCGCAAAGAGGCACTCATCCAGTTCATGTCAAAGACGGTCCTCGAGCTCGGCAGAGAGCACACCTGCGACAAAGAGGAGGCCCGCGAAGTGGCGCTTGCGGACCACAATCACCGCCCCTTACCTCAGAGTAGCCGGCGAGGGACTCGGCGCCACACTGAGCTCCCAGTGACAGCCTCTCGGGGCTGGCATTAAACTTTAAGACCGCCAGGTTAAGTGTCACGCAGAACGTTTTGTTCCCACTTCCTTTTTCCATCAACTCTTTGGTCCGGAGAAGAGATGACGTCTAGGGGAAAATAAATGGATGAATGAATGCGTAAATTCAAGTAAACCCTTTTAATCGGGTGGTGGCTTGCGCCCCCTCGCGCCCTCGCGCTTTTCCCGGGAAACTCACTAAGGAAGCTGTTTGACTGGATACGGATGGAAACTGTATCTTGCAGGAGCCGTCGTTGTTGGGCATGTGATAGTCCGCGTAGACAAAAACATCCGCGAGCCTGAACAAAAGTAATACAAATTATTATACTTGCGCCACTGTCACACTGTCTGTTAAGATCGACTTACTGGACCAATTCCGCGTGGAAAAGCTCGCTTCCCGAAGCCACGGCTATAATTAACTGGAATGGCTGACCTGTTGAACTGCTCAGAGAGTCCTTGAGGTCCTGCGGCACAAAAGAAAAAAACAGAGTGCATATCTGGGTGGGTGTCCGACCTCGGTGGAGCCTACCTTGAGGATACTGTACATCAGCAGTTCTTGCCGTGCGGACAAGCCACCGATAAGCACGGCCACACCTTGCACGTCATTACGTTCCAGCCAACCGGGAACAGACTCTATTAGGAGAGCGCCGGCCTTCACGTCGTTCGTGTACGTCGACACGAGCGTATGTGAGTTTACTTCAATGGCCAACGGCGTGTTCGTTCGCTGGGCGGGCAGGAGAGACTGCCAGGCATCTGGAAGCACGAAACTCGCCATTAACGCTGGGGACAATGTGGCAGACCTTCGTCTTACCCAGTATAGACGAAATGGCCTCGACAGAGTGAAACTTTTGTCGAGAAAGGACTACGTAGTCGCACGCATCGCTAGGGAAGTCATTGAGGACCTCTGATGAGGGTTCCACAAAACAAACCAACGTATCTGCAAAAAGAGAAAAAGACCTATAAATAATTTCACCATTATCGGCTCTTCAACGCGCAGCCCAGATATCTCACTCCGAGTGCCGAGACTTGGACGAGTCTCTTTGTCTTTCGTGCCTGGCGAAAGAAAAGCATAGCTCAGTTTTCGAAAGTTCATCTCGGGTAGACGATTCACTTACGGCATTTCTCGAGCAGTCCAGCCAGGTTCTTAAGCCGAGAGTAGGCACGTCGACCGGGACACTTGCCCCTCGAGTCTTCCAAGTCGGCGTTTACGGCCGCAGCACAGCCGCCAGGAACAGCGTTCAGGTACGCCGTCATCTGGAGAGCAAACAAAAACTATTGGTTTAAAGCCAGTCATTTGAGGAGTCAAGTCGCCCACCTTCTTTGCAATGGTGTCCTCGTCTTCAAAGATCTGTATCCAGCTGCTGTTTCTTCTGTACGACGTCACCCAGTTGGCGTCCGACAGAGTCATTGTGCTCTCGCTGCGACAGGTCTGTAAACAAGCAGCGTGGTATCCCAGGCTCGTTCCTCGAGTGAGCTCAACGTACCCGCGCGTAGGTTTCAAGTCTCGTGCTGATGCAGCTGTCTCCGATCACGGCCCTCGAAGACTTCGTTTCAAAGCCAAAAACAGCCAAGTTCACGGAAAGGCAGACGGCGGCTTTGTGCCTCGCTGGCGCTTGAGATATGAGCTGCGTAGCATCAATTACTTTCATGTATATTCAAAAGCGTTTAACGGAAGCATTTCGTTCGTAGGGCTTACAAAGTTGATAAGGTCTTTATATTTCGGGAGCTCCGAGGAGGGCGAAACAACGGTGCACTTTGCTCCATGCAAAGTAGGGTGCGTGAAGAATACTAACAGGTCGACGTGACTGCAGTGAAAGTAATAATTGAGAGTACCTTAGAGGCTCAACTCCTTGAAGAGAATTATGCCACGAATAACTGACGAACTTCCCCCAACGGCAGTTTGGTTTGCGTGCGACGTAGCAGCCACCGTGCTGATGCCACGCGCAGAGAAAAGGCCGCTGGGAAATCCGTCGATATTTCGCGGGATATTCGTCTGATTGAGTGCAGCTTTTACGTTTATCGCTCAGCGTCCTTACCTGACCAGACGTTTTAGAATTGCAGGGTCAAACTGTCTGTAGTGCACCCCGGCCAGCAACCGGAGCGGCGAAGCTCTCCTACGGTAGTAGCTCGACATGCCCTGAAAACGGAAACCGGTTCATCCGATAGATTAGGTATGAAAATGCGAAAAGGTCTCAGTAAACGTACGAATTGCGAGAGCCTATGAGAAATTTAGGTTTTTTTATTTCAAATCTGATAAACCAATGTTCTTCCCGTTCTTTTTAATAAGGCAGACATACAAATTGAGCGGCATAGATCCTCAGGAAACTCGTCAACCCTGCCGAGTTGCCCGAAATGAAATCAGTCGGCGTTATTTAAGGAAGTCTCGAAAAGATACATCGAGGCTTGTACGTGCGACCGCACGAGACGCAATATTCGCAAGCTCATGCGCCAGCTCTGGCAATGGTTAGATCCGCGAGTGTTTATATGAGGCGCCACTCATTTTGTTCTCACAAATCCTTCCCATGATACCCCCGAAAAAGTGTCGAACCAAAATGTTTATGGGTTCGGTTCAAGTACGGGTTTACAGCTTTCGGTTCAGTTCCGGTTCAATTTCGGGAAGTCAAGCCGGTTCGAACCGGTTTGAACTGCTAAATTGATAATATATATCCCGCGTTGTTTTGGCTATAGGCACTATTTCCACGTTTGAAACGGGCAACTACACTCTCTAGTTTTAAAGCGATAGCCTCATGGGCGACACTTTTGAGAGATTTCGTCCTTGTGCCGCGTCCTCGCCGCGCGCGTGAAACATGGAAGACCCTTTTTTCTTTTCCTAATCCTCGCACCGTCGAATGCACAAGCACTTTGTAGAACCAGATATCAAACTCCGTCCTACCGGACCCCGCCCACCACCATTGTCAACAAAACCACGTGATCCCCGTCCAATCACCACGTGAAGCCTGAACCGCTCCGCACTCCAGCGGCTAGAGGCGGAGTGCTAGGGAGTGCTTTGAGAGGGAGGGGCGCCTTCGAAAGAACCAGCCGATCAGGTCACCGCACTCTCTTTCCACCACCCGATCTGGCGCGCACTAGAAAGAGCGCTCGAGAGCGCGCAGAAAGAACCACGCGAATTCGCCATCAGTAATTCACACCGTACACTTGGCGAGTTTCCGGAAGTGGGGAGCTACCTCGAGGTACTGGTCGAGCAGTGCGAGGTCCTCGTCAGGAGCAGCGAACACGGCCATGCCGCCCAGACCGGCTTTGAGCAAGCTGACGCTGAGCCGGCGCGCAGGAGCTTCGCTGAGGGCTCCGCCAGCGAAGAGGCCGGACAGGGCCGATGGCACCGTGGCCACGACGGCCGGCGTCCGTGTCCGGGCGCACAGCTTCAGGAAGGACGCGAACCTGGAGCCTACCGAGCGATCGTCGCCAACGAAAATGGAATGCCAAGCACACAGCCCTCGAAGCACAGACCTTGGCGCCCACGCGAACAATATAAAGTCCACCACTCGATCTTGTGGGAACATATGCGACGCCTGCAGTCCCCACAAGCTTCATCGTCTTTCTAGTCCCCACCCCTGCCCGTTTCAATCTAGATGAGCATCGTACCGGCGTGCGGTCGTGTATCACTACTGCGTGGTGCACGTCAAAGAGCAGTTGCACTTCACTGGCTAAATCACCCATCTACAGCTGAGAGACAAGTCGCCCGTTGAGGCAGACGAAATTCTAGGCTGTATAAACATACACACACCCCAATTTTTTTTTGTCGTCTCTCGACTGGCTGGAGTTGAGAGACTGAGACCTACTTTGCGCTTCAATGTGGATTAATCGGGGCGAGAAATTTTGGTATCGCCGCCTCGTGGAGTTTTTTCACAACCCAGAGCGAGGATACCTCAACTTCCTCTGCTTGTACAAGCAGGGTGCAATGCCCAGCTTCAGTGCACTATGAGAATTGATATTGTAAGCATAAATCCACCGAGTAAATTCGAAATATACGCGGATGACACGAGCCTTTTCCTTTCTGGTGAGACTGGCGACGAGCTTATCAACTGCGCAAAAGTGACCATAACAGCGGTGCAAGTATGGCTCTCAGAGAACGCGCTAAACATCAATGCGAGTAAGACGAAGGCAATCATCTTTCGGCCTAAAAACAAGAATGTTTCTACAACTGAGACCCTGTCTTAAATGCAAAGGATATAGATATTGCAGATAATTTTAAGAGTTTAGGCATAAATTTCAATCAGTACTCATTTTGGAAAAATCATGTAAATGATTTACGCACTACAATGTCAAAGGTCACTGGATTAGTCTTTCGTAACCGTTTTATTCTACCAAGAAATGTTAAGCTTCTTGTATACCAGATTTTATTTCTTTCACACTTGAATTATTTTTATCTAGTTTGGGGTACAACCCCACGAACAAATCTACAAAAAATACTCGAATGGCAGAAAAAAATGTATATATGTGTGTGTGCGTTTCATTAAGAACGCTTCTTACGACTCTAGCACCCTTGGCCTGTTCATAAAAAGTAGTTTACTTTCTGTTTATAACGTGTACAAGCACAGATTTGCGATCAGTTTTAAGTTAAATAACAAAAGAAATGGGGATAGCTTAATAAACCATGCGGAGCTAAAATGACATGCAACTTCCTAACCAACTCGGTCGGCGGAACATTGGACTGTGCCACTGTGTCACAACAACTATTCAATGCAAGCACTCAAATACACACTTCTTACTATATTGAATACCCTAATAAAAAATAACATTGATATTATTTCTATTGCAATTCAGGAATTATACGAAGTGAACTAATGTGGGGCGAAAACGAATGAACCGATTCATAATACCTGTTTGATTTTGTATTTTACCTCGTTATGTCGGTTTTCTCAGTAATTTTCGCTGTTGCTTTGTTTTGACTTCTGTATAAGCCACTAGAAAGGAGGAAGGGGCTGCGTCAAGCTGTTCTTACAACTTTTGTTCCTTGTTTCCTTTATTTATGTATCGAAATGGAAAATAAAGTTTCTTTTTTAATAAAACCTCACCGCGTGAGTAGCACGTGCACTACCTATAGTGAGAAGACCAGAAGTGCCCCTAGCGAGCTTCTCACTGCGTATTGGCGACGTGCGTAATCGAAAGTGTCGCTGTGGTCGGCCTTCGACGATTGGACGAAAGCTGACTATGACGTCAGCAAAAGTTTTGTCATCGACTGAAATGAGAGTAATGTACGAATTGGAGTTTTGATGGTGTTGCCAGTCTTGGTTCCTGAGCGCAATTATTTCAAGCTGCCACCATGCTCATTACAAACACCACCAAACTTGTTCGGAAGGTAATGACGTCACGAGAGGGAATCTTAGGACGGCACCACTAAAACATCTCGCCGCTAATAGTGCCTAGATGTGCGCTTCGTTGAGGGCACGGTGTAAGATAATGTGGTTTAGGGTGATGATATGCGACCAATTTGTTCCGAATGGTTTTCCTACGACGCAGATAGTCTCATATGGCCGGCCCTCTTTCCGGTTCTCACTCTTGAGGCGGATCCAGAACACGCGAAGGCCCTCCCAACGCTGATGCGAAGACATTGGAGGCACCCTAGTCTGGA